GTGTAATTTGCTCTATAATTAATTAATACACAATTAAACATTAAAATTCTCATACTAACACCAAATAAGAAACTCCAAATATTGAAATAATACCAAAAATAAGTCCAAACCATTACAACCGAAGACTTTTGGCTATCCTTTGAACTATCATCTACAAAGTTGATTTTCAATGAATTAGGTTTTGTATTATGAGGGAAAGTATACATCCTTGTCATTTCACATCCTCTAATATAACAAGGTTGACTGGCATTTATTCAGGGTACCCATAAAAGTTAGAAATGGCCGGCCGGCCGGCACACTGCCCTTGACAATCCGTTCTAATTATTATACTTTTCTTTATGATTCCACGAATATTAACAAAAGGGTGTTGCTATTTACACCACCCTTTGGTCAAAAGTAGGTATAAAGTATCTTGAAATTATAAAAAGGTGAAAATTTTTAATAATTACATAGGTGGTGTAAATAGTCAAATGGGAGTTCATTTTGCTATTTGCACCACCTTGGTCAAACCTCATTTATGAGGTGTAATTAATAATTTTTTAATTTAAAATTTGATTAAGAGAAAATTGTACTTTTTCCCCTTAAGTTATATACTTATAGTATACTTTTTATCCCCGAATTATTCATGTTAGCATATTAGCCCACTCAATTATTCTAAAAGTGACGATCCCCCCCCCCCCCCCGATATATTAAATTGACATTTCTACCCTTAAAGTAAACATTTTATTTATTTTTCTTCTCTAACAAATTATTGCGTATCCGTATGGATGACTACGGTTCAGTTCTAACTGAACCGGACACTATAACAATCGAATTAAAAGTTTCCGGTTAAGGGAAAATTGTACACTTTTTCCCTCTGAGTTATATGATTATAGCACTTTTTTCCTCTCAGTTATTTGTTTATTCACATTTGCTCCCTCAATTATATTAAAAGTGGCAGGTTTTCTCCATTTTATGTTAGGTGAACATTTTTACCCTTAAAACTAAATATTTCATTTATTTTTTCTTCTCCAACAAATTATTGTTTATATGTACGGATGGTTATGGTTCGCTTCGAACAATTTTTTTATTTTATTTCCAATTCAAAATTTATTTATTTATTATAAATTCTATTTCTTATTTTTAAAATAATATAAATTCAATAATTATTTTATTTTATTTCATTTTTTCGGTTCTGAATCGTAAGTATAAGAAAATAAAGTTGTGTTGTGCCTTCACAATTAGTTATATTTGTTCTATATTTTCTTTAAAATTTTTAACCCTAAGAATCTAAGCTCCACTCCCAAGGTCCGGACCTATGACCATTTATTTGAAATGGTAATTGAAATGTCATCATATTACATGATAGTTGACTTAATCATATTATATATAATAATCATATAAAAACCAATTGCTGTTAAATCAAAGTAATTGTAGATTACTAGTATATATGTCCTCTAATGAAGGTGTGCATTCCTCAAAAAGAGAGAAATCAAATATAATATTAGATATAAAATCACACTCCAAAATGCCATTGGAACGTAATGGATTGTCAACTTCAATATGACTGTGAAAGCCTAAGAAATCCATACTTTTCCCCCCTTTTTATGAAGTTCGGAAGAGTAATATATAACACGTGTGATTGCAAATTAAAACAAACCCCTATTGGCTTTGCTTACGATTCAGAATCGAAAAAATAAAATACAATAAAATAATTATTAAATTTTTTTTTTAAAAAGAAATAAAATTTATAATAAATAAATAAATTTTGAACTGGCAATAAAATAAAATAAAATAAAAATTGTTTGAACTAAACCGTGACCATCCGTACATATAAACAATGATTTATTGGAGAAGAAAAAATAAATGAAATATTTAGTTTTAATGGTAAAAATGTCTATCAAACATAAAAGGAAGGAAACATGTCACTTTTAATATAACTAGGAGGCAAATGTGGATTCATGAATAACTAATAGGGAAAAAGTGTTAAAAGCATATACCTAAGAGGAAAAAGTGTCATTTATAATAAATATTTGTTTAAAAAAATAATGTTTGACTAAAATTAATGAAGGTGGTGCAAATAGCAATTTTCTATTTACACCACCTAAAAGTTATCACACCTATTAAATAAGTTGTGTAAATAGCAATTAGGGTGGTGCAAATAGAATTTCCCTAACAAAATGACAAATTTTGTTCACGTATTTAAGTCCTACCAATTTGCATTCACTACTATTATTTTAGCATCAATTGTCATCCATAACTATTGTTAATTTAGTGCCAAAATACATCACACTGGTCACCACTTCGTTTAAGACATGTCGAAATATGAAATTATTAATGGTATTTCTCTTCTTTTCAAATTAAGATCTCAATTTGAGCATGAATAAAGAGATTTAAGTCCTAAGATCGATCTCAATTCGCAGTTCTCCCCCTCAAATTAAGGTAGGATGAGGAGAAAAACGCTTTGAACTGATGCACTTAAGTATCGAATATTCGAATTGATGCACCTTAAGTCTCAAACTTATGCAAGTTCTAACTTATATGCACTAAACTACCATAATGCCACTGCATTTATTTAAAAAATTTCATCATTATGGATTGTTAATTTTGACTAGATCGAGAGTTCACCACATTTTTATCCGAGACTTCATTCGCATTTGATCTCTAGTGTGTGTGTTTCTCTCTCTCTCTCTCTCTCTCTCTCTCTCTCTCTCTCTATATATATATATATATATATATATATATATATATATATATATGGAGTGGATCAGGTGCAAAGATAGTTAACACAAAAAGACACACCTTAAGCATTAAGAACACAAATCACTCACCTAAAGTTTTAAAATGACGCACCTTAAGTATACAAACCATGCATCTTAAACACACAAACAAAGCATCTTAACAACATAAACCACGCACCTTAAGCACACAGACAAAGCACCTTAAAAACACAAATCACGTACCTAAAGTTTTAAAAATGGTTCACCTTAAGTACACAAACCACGCACCCTAAGCACACAAGCAAAGCATCTTAAAAACACAAATCACACACCTAAATATTTAAAATGTTGTACCTTAAGTTTCAACAACTAACGTACCTTAAAAAGGAAAACCACACACCTAAAGTTTTAGGTAGATGCACCTTATGCACACAAACCACGCACCTAAAGCTTCAATCAAACTCTAAATTAAAACTTCGTATATAGTTCAAGTTTTAATTTTGATAATGTGAATAATGTCTAACATTTAGCGTAAGCAAAAATGTTATGTTTATTTAGATAATGTAAGTAGAAAAAATAGAAGATGATAATTAATGTAATCATATGTAGACTCATAGTAATTAATAAATATGTAATTAAGTTGATAATTGTGAGAATATTGCGGTTATAGTGATATATATATAACCGGATAGATTATAGATAATTTTGTTTTCCATTTAGAAAACAGTTTTTAAATTGTTTCTAGTTTTCAAAATGGAAAATCATGCTAGTAAATATGTTTTTTTTTTTGTGTAAAATTGAAAAAATTTTAGGAATAAGGGTCAAATAGGCCATTGAACTGCACACAATAATGCAATTAGGCCACTAAACCTAAAAAAACAACAATTAAATCCCTAAACTAACTATTTTTATGCAATTAAGCCAATTTACAGGTTTTGTAAGTTAGTAACAGGTCACCCAAATTTTAAAATATATTTTTTAATTATTATTTAAAAATAATAATTTAAAATTAAAAATTATTAAAAAAAAAAAAAGTTTAACCGTCTCCAGCCATGGAGACAAAGAAAGTTTCTTCATCTCCATGGCCTATTTGACCCTTATTCCAAAATTTTACTATTAGTAAACGGGCAAAAAATTCTAGCAAGTTATGTTGATTTGTAAAATCCAAATCTGAATGGACTAAAAACTAACCAATCAACTTTCAACGTGCATGATCATCTCTAAAAGCATGTCAATATTATGAGAGTTCTAATATGTTACCCTCAAATTATATATACTCCATCAATTATACTTTTTATGTGATAAGTATAGATAAAATATTTTCATTTGATAAGTCGAGAAAAAATTATCTATATAAAAAATTTAAAAATAAAAAATAAATTTAAAAGTACATATAATAATATTTTCTATACTATGGGTGCGTTGGGCAGTTGTTATATTATAGACCGTGGTGCATAATCGATTATGCACCGCGGCCCATATACGACGCCGTTTCTTTAAGTAAAGAAACGGCCCGCCGTTAGAGTTAACGGAGTCCGTTTGTTTGGTGTATTAGACACTACAGTATATTCAAACTGACACTGCAGTTATATCAAAATGATACTGTAGTTATAGTGAAATGAAACTGCAGTGTATATAAACTGAAACTGAATAACATTTTACATATTTGAGTGTATATTGTACAATGAAGCTGTAATTATATCAAAATGATTATGTAGTTGTGTTTTAATAAAACTATAGTGTATATAAAATAAAATTAAATAACATTTTCACATATTTGAGTCTATAAATATCGAATGAAACTATAGTTATATCGAAATGAAACTGTAGTTGTGTTCAACTGAAACTGCAGTGTATACAAAATGACACTGAATAACAGAGTTACTTTTTGCAAAATGGTGTGAAACGGCGGAAATAAACACTGTTAATTTTCATTTAAAAAAAAAAAGACGCGCGGTGCATAATCGATTATCCACCGCGGTGCATAATATAATTTGCCTGCGTTGGGAGTCTTGGAATGGCTCAAGTGCTCAACCATAGCTTGGATGGCTAAGATGGCCACACCAATTAAGCTCTTCATGATGAGGTCAAAATCGCCTCACTATTGAAAAGCTTAACTTGGTAATTCTAAGTTAACTTGGTTTTCTCCTTGCCAATCAATTTTATATTATTTAACGGAAAAATATCGTATTCTCATTAATTAATACGTGGACTTATGTCTCGTGTATGAGATAAGCTTTAGTCTCATGGATTATAGTAAAAATTAGATTGTTGAGTGTTGACCCACATTTTAATGTGTATTTCTCCTCCTAGAGCCTACATACAGTGGTCGTATATGGCAAGCTGTGCAGGGTACAGGTGGTGGTTGGCGGTGGTGATCTTGGCGGTATCAGTACCGGAACCTGCGTTCTCCAACCCACAAACCAACCAAGTAGGCAAGCTGGGTTGCAGCCCGTACAATTTTAGCGATGTACCAGATTCTATGAGCCAACTCAACCTCAGCTTTGCCGATCTCAGAAACCAGTTATCCGCCAATAAAACCTTTGCCACCATTGAGCATACTCCTGTCTATGCACTGGCACAGTGTAGAAAGTACCTCTCCACGGCAGACTGTGTCACCTGTTTCGATGCCGCCGTGTCTGCAACCCGGAACTGCTCCATCGCCACCGGGGCTCGTGTCATATTTGATGGCTGCTTCCTCAGGTGAGTTCCAGTAAAGCGTATTTATGTCCGCACGGACAGTAGTTTAGTTAGTTTATGTCAGGTCCGTCTTGCATTATATTGTGAACCTTGGTCCACCTTACATTACATTATGAATTCTGGTCTAAGGCTCCGTTTGAAAAGTTTGAAAAATGTTTTCTGGAAAATGAGTGGTTTTCAAGTTTCCTTACATAAAACTATCTTTGTGTGTGTTTGGTTCATTTTCCTGGACGTTATGTATGTTGTTATTGTAGATATATACCTGGAGCCGTTTGTTATGTATAGGTACGAGGACAGTTACTTCTACAATCAGATTACAGATCCAGGAACCTATCCAGTTTGCGGCAAACGAACCGCCGGCAAACAAGATGTTTTGAATACCACAGCACAACAACTACTATATGAGCTTATAGCTGCAACGCCCAAAATTAATGGCTTTTTCGCTGCAGCAAAGCTGGTCTCCGGTGGTGGTGGTGGTGCTACCGCCGCCTATGCAGTGGCACAATGTATCGAAACACTCACTGAAAGTGGCTGTCAGCAATGTCTGACATTAACTTACAGTAACATAGTGAGTTGTTTACCAAAATCTGCAGCGGCAAGAGCAATTGCCGCAGGTTGCTTCATGAGATACTCAGACAAACATTTCTTTGCCAATAACCAGACAACTAACCTTGCACCCTTCTTAAGAGGAGGAGGTATAAATTAAAATCTGTTCTTCATTCTCTTCATTTTTCTTAAGCTATAGCTATGTAAATATGAAAAATGAAATAATTTATTAGTTTTTTTTCCAGGGAGTTCAAGAAAGAAGAAAGCTATCATTTGGGGTGTAGTGGGAGGAGTAGGAATCATTTTGGTATTAGCAGCCATTTTCGTTTTGTATCGACAATCAAGAAACCCAAAGGCAGCAAGAAGAGGTAATAAATTATATTAAAGCTGGTTTAATTTAGTTAAAAATTATTGTTTAGATCTGTATGTGTGTTCAACTTATGGATTGTCTTCTTCTATAGGCGACATTTTGAGGGCAACTCAGTTGAGAGGTCCAGAGAACTATAGATATAAAGATCTGAAATCTGCAACAAAAAATTTTAGCAAAGAATATAAACTCGGGGAAGGAGGTTTTGGTGATGTATACAAGGTGATGAGTAATATAAATAAATTTCACTATTATTTCCTCTTCATTATATTATATTGTCTTGCTCATCTTATCTTACTATATATTATGACTAAATTAAACATCCTGAATGCAGGGCATACTAAAGAACGGGGACGTGATTGCAGTGAAGAAACTGACAATGACTTCCAGTAGAGCAAAGGCAGACTTCGAGACTGAAGTTAGGCTTATTACAAATGTCCACCATCGCAATCTCATTCGACTATTGGGATGTTCTGCCAAAGGAGAAGAGCTGCTACTGGTTTATGAATACATGAAAAATGCCAGCCTTGACAGATACATATATGGTACCCCGGCCGGCCTAAAACATTGTTATTCTTATTATTAGTATTACTTTTGTAGGTGCTGGGATAAATAAACTTTTGTCGTCATTTTTAATGATTGGCAGGAGACAAACGAGGGATACTGAATTGGAAGCAAAGGGTTGATATAATATTGGGTACAGCTAGGGGTCTTGCCTATCTGCATGAGCAGTTTTATGTATGCATCATACACAGAGACATCAAATCCAGCAATATACTACTTGATGATGACTTTCAACCTAAAATCGCTGATTTTGGTTTGGCAAAGCTTTTACCTGAAAGTCAGAGTCATCTCAGTACTAAATTTGCAGGGACTTTGTAAGCCTAATAGCCTTATTTCTTTAATTTCATCCCCCAAATTTTCACTCAACATCTTTTCCATGCAAATACTTTAAATCACTAAATGATGATCGACAACTATTATATTTGCTAGGGGATATACAGCACCAGAATATGCAATCCATGGTCATTTATCAGAGAAAGTTGACACCTACAGTTTTGGCATAGTCGTCCTGGAGATCATTAGTAGCCGAAAGAATAGTGACATACAAGTTGAGTCAGTAACTGAGTATCTCCTTGAACAGGTGATAATTTCTTACTCCACAAGCTTCTCAAGCCTATAATATAAAATATAAATGTATAACTAACCTCATAGGTTTTTAGTTAAAACGGAAATTTATCTTGATTCAACATTTGACTTGTAACATCATGTTATACAGGCATGGAAATCGTACGAGAATGAGGACTATCTAAGGCTGTTGGATGAAACTTTAGACCCCAATGAGTGTAAAGCAAAAGAAGTGAAGAGAATGTTAGAGATTGCATTGGTTTGCACCCAATCACCTCCCAATTTAAGGCCAAACATGTCAGAAGTGGTGTTCATGTTTTCAAGCGATCGTCCAATCTTTCAAAACCCACCAAACAGGCCTACCTTTATCACTGATTTGGAGAACAGGGTACTTACAGACACATGAGCAATTAGTGCATCATACACTTCTCATGCCACCGCTACATTTTCCAGTTTAGTTCCGTTGCAAGTTTCCAGTAGCTCAAACTTTTTCTAGTAGTGATTTCAAACTGTATTACTGAATTTAGAGTTGTAATAATAAGTGATTATATTTGTAAACTATCATTAAAGATGTTTACATTAAAGTTGAAATTTTGTATATGAACAATTTAATTAAGATTTAATTGGCACAACACCTTGCTTCAATTCTGAAAAAATAAATTAAATGGGTTTGTTGGCAATGTGAAAGGAGAGCCATCCCTTTGTAGTTTGTATTGTGTTGGAGTTAATATTAAAAATTGTCGACTATTTTGAAATATCAAGGTTCATTCTTGACTTGCAATTAGATAAGATTAAGTTCTTGATTATGGATATAGATTAAGGATCAAATGAGGACTTATCCTTATTTTTTTATTTAAATAAGTCAATGGCTCTGATTTAATTCTACGCAATGAATTTAATTTCTCGTACTCAGTTTGTTGTGTATTCGTTCTCAATTTGTTGTACATTCGTTCCCAGTTTGTTGTGCATTCTGTCCCAATTTGTTGTGCATACATAGTGTGATTGATGTGTATCCATCTCAGTTCGTTGTGCAATCCTTTTTTGATTTTTCATAGTCGTTAGATCACTCCAAATGGATGACTGGATTAGTCCTCACCTAAAGATAGGTCCTCACTAATCCGGAACTTATGGATATATTATATTATTTAGGTATCCAATGACTTTTTCAATCATATATAAGGGCAATGTTGAAAATTTTGCATTAGTCAATGTTATAAATGTGAAAATACAAATTTTCCTGACCAAATTTGCAAAAATACAACTTTGTATACCAAGACCATTCAAGTTTCAACCATTACGTTGAACATTCTCAATCAAACAAACTTTAACCTTTCTAAAGGTTACAATAATCTATCACTCATTTTCTCCAGGCCATCTATAGAATTCCTACACGTGAGGTGTGAAAAGTCAAGTTTCCAACATTGCATTTGTATTTAGCTAAAATATTGACTAGAGAACCAAATCAAATAACACACGCATAATGGCCAAACATATAGTGCTCAGATGGTACCTCTGCGACTCCCCTTAAGGAAAGGTCACAGGATTGAATCCCAGTGCTAGAGTATTGACTCTTTGGAATACTGCATAGTATTCAAAAATAATAATAACACATGCATAATCAAAAACATAATTTAGTTCAATTGAAAATTAAGCACCAATTTTGGTCCAACGCAGCCCTAATCTTATTCACGTTTTTGTAAGCAAAACTCTATAGCTTGTTTAAGAATTAGTAGTTAACAAATTAAGTTAGCTATTAACAATGAGTTGATTGTGTGAGTGAATTTGAAAAATGATACTATTAGGTGTTTGTAGATAAATAATTGGAAAAAATTAGTTATTTGTTGTTAGTTGATAACATATAAATGACTTTTAAAGATATTAATATATTTTATAATAACAATTTATTTGTTTTTTTTTTGTAAGACCACGAAGTTTAGACAAAGTGCTTACCAAATTAATTTTTTTATATAAGAGTACACGGTCACTCACACTAACCAAGTTGGTAAATAATTTATTAATTATATACAAAGTAATAATTACATTTTATAAATAAAATATTATTTATGATAATAATATAATTAAAGAACATATAATAATAAGAAGAAAATTCTTAAGTGTCTATCAGTACCAGTACAACCTCAAAGTGAATGAGAAGGTTTAGAATTTGTATTGTGTACTATGTGGATATTGTCACCAAAGACTCTACAGTACCTAATACAAACCTAGCTAGCAAATTATACCATGAATCAAGGTTTACCTTGGTTTGGACACTAATTCAAAAATAACCTTCAAATTACCTGTAAACAAATTGAAGGTACATCACATGGTAACCCGGGGGGAGGGGGGGGGGGGGAGGGGGGGCGGAAAGGTTAATTGTCCCCCACCCCATATATAACCTTTGTATGCATATATGTATATATATATTACAAGTTTAAGTATTAGTATAAAAATAGATGAATATTAATGAGAAGTGAGTTAGATTAGTTGGCTTCAACACAATCACGTTTATAATGTTTTTTATTCAAATTATTTTATCAAATTAATTATGTTTCATATTTTGTTATGAATATTTTTATAAAGTTTCGATGTGTTTTATTTTTTGCTCATATCCAACAATATTTATACCTATATTTCTTAGATTTTTTTTTTCAAATTATCTCTTTTGTTTTAACGTTTCCCCTTCACTGGGAAAAAAAAAATTATGGATCTATCCCTACTTTTTCGCCTCCCTCAACGAAATTCCTGGCTCCGTCCCTGTAGACACACATAATAAGTACTCCGTAATAACTACATACACAAATTGTTAGATGCAGCTACAGAATATGTTAACTACAGACATTTTCTTTTTTTCCCCAAGTTTTCACTGGAACATATATCCAACTTTAAATCACTGAACGAGAACTATTTTCCATTGCAACAGGGGATATAAAGCACTAGAATACGCAATTCATGGTCATTTATTGGAAAAAGTTGACACTTACAGTTTTGGTGTTGTTGTCCTGGAGATTGTTAGTGGCCGAAGGAGAAATGACGTGAAAACTGAACCTATAACTTAGTATCTCCTTGAACAGATGATTTCTTGCATCACAACCTAGTGTGAAGAGGTTTACTTACAAGGAATAGTATCTTCTCACATCAGCTTGGACATCTACAGGAGAGAACTAAGAACCAATCGCTGCCGTCCACATGTCTAGATCTAACGGATCAGAAACACATTTTTTTTTTAAAATAATGCAGTAGTATTTTCATAAATAATTGAACTTTGAAGTGCAAATAAATTGTGTTAAAAGTGCAAGTAATTACTTATAATAGTGCACCTAATTGCAAGTAAAATGTATTAAAAGTTCAAGTAATTAGTTATAACAATTTCATATAGTGCATCTAATTGCAAGTAAAATGTATTAAAAGTGCAAGTAAAATATATTAAAAGTGCAACAAATAATATACACTGAGCATCAATATTAAGTAAATCTAACGTTATTATTAGTTGCATCAAACGTTATCATTAAGTGCACCAATGTGAAAGACATTATCATTAGGTGCACCAATGTTAAAAAGGTAAATTACAGTGAAAATGGTTGCACTTTTAAATGGTTTTATTTGCACTTTTTACTTACGCCCAGTTACTTGCACTTTTAACACATATTAGTTGCAACTTTTCGAATTATTTACAAAAATATCACCGCGTCTTTTTTTTTTTATAAATACATCTGTTAAATCAGGACACGTGGACGGTTGCGATTGGTTTTTAGCTCTTTCATGGGCATTTGTTTTCACCTGAGCACGCCCCTATATGTGTGTGTGTGTGTGTGTGTGTGCATATCATATCTTGCACACAACACATGCTTAATATGCACATGCAAATTTTGAATCGCACAATTGCACACATCACATGCACAGAACGCATACTTAATATGCACACGCGAATTTTGAATCGCACAATTGCATACAACACATGTTTAATATGCACATGTGAATTTTGAAACCCATAATTGCACACATACAACACATGCCTTATATACACATGTGAATTTTAATTTGAACCTCCAATTGATCTCATCCATAGATCTATTTTTTTAATGGACTTATTGGTTTTTATGGACTCATGTTACAATATGATTCTCATAGTAACATCTCTCTCTCTCTCTCTCTCTCTCTCTCTCTATATATATATATATATATATATATATATATATATATATATATGGATTCATGATAATTCATAGAAATCCAATAAATTGTCGTTGTTTGCATTATTGTTGATTTGTTAATTAATCTCATTACTCTTACCCAAAGGCTAAATCTCAACTCTAATAGTCCCCCACACTCCGACCATATAGAGCATGTGGGAGGATATAAATCACGGTGACTCAATGGGTTAGTAGACAGAGCCAAATAATAGAGTTCGAGTAATATAATGAATATATATAGATAAATAATACAATAAAACATTAAAATGTGTGAAAGAAGGAATACTGATTTGTAAAAGAAAACATATATAATATAAAAATATTATCCTTAATTCCAAATAGTACAATAGTACAATATAATAATACTAGTATAAATTTTGTTACTACTATTATTATTAGTATTAATAATTAATAAAGAGTGAAATTAAACTAAAATAGCTGAGTGGTCTAAGATTACCTTCTCAAGGTCCTCCTTGTCTAACACTCCTACCCATCTCAAGTTCTCAACCATTCTATCCGATCTCAATTCTTCACCAACATTTTGTTGATCATCGTGAACATTCTGTTGTTCTGTAAGTAGAGAAGAATCCATATCTCCCAATTCCTCATTCTGAGGAACAAACGGAAAATAATCGTCGCTAAAACCTGATAATGCAGCTTGATGATGATTATGATGATGATGATGAGCAACCGAAAGGATTTCATCATGTGATCCATGATTTATTGCGTATTCAGGTACAAAGCTAGATTGATGAAACTCCATTGGAGGCAACATGAAGCGATGCGATGGATTATTATTGTGGAAACGAAATGCTTCGTCTGATGATAGAAATTGCATCCAATATCTGTGATCGCCGGGAACATTATTGAACAGAGATCCATCACCGCCGGCGGCCATGGGCGAGCTGCACGTAGCCGAAGATGACGGTGCCGCCGCCATCGCATAGGGTGAGCTCTCCGTCTCGTCATACGACGATCGATCACTAGCCGCCGCCGCACCGGAATTTTCTCCGATTTTGAGGCCGTTCAAGCTCTTCTTAAATACACGGCAAAGCGCATAAGCATCCTGCAATCCCGATCGGGTTTCGCATTCCCTTTCATCCAAACGGTACTCGTGCATAATCCAATCTGTTCGAGCTCCGTGAGGAGCTCTCCCTCTGTGATACACTAGGGTTTTCTTCATCCCAACCTCCCTCATTTCTGAATTTACTTTCCTGTCCTTCCCTGTCGCCTTCCAATATCCAGCTTTTGTCGCCCGATTCGTCCTTGACCCGTTTGGATACTTTCGGTCTCGGGGACTAATGAAATACCACTCGAGATCTTTGCTGGGCAATAATGCCTTCCCTATAACACAATAAGACAATAAAGAGAATTATACTTTTTTTTCAAAATTTAAGCGGTTTTCCAGCTTTGAATCATCTTGTAATGATGTGATTTGTTCCTATTGTGTAAGTACACATCTTTAAGCTTCTAATAGGAGAAGACTAAAAGACTATAGGGACCATATTACAATGTTAGGTTCTTTATCTCTGTGTAGACATTTATAATTAGAATATATAATCCATACTTTGTACTATCATTGCTGCACTAAAGCATATAATTTTTGACTGCTAAAGTGTTTCCAAAGCATATTATGGACTATTTGGTAACATAATTAGCTTATTAGTCAATACGAGTGTTTGATTAATTAGCTTTTTGTAATAGCTTATTGTTTCAAAAAGCTGCTTTGAACCCTTTGAGAATGTTATTTTGCATGTAATCAGCTAACAGCTAATTTACCAAATATTTTTCTACAATCAGTTAACGTTATCAACTAGTCAAACCCACTAACTCAATCAGCTAACAGCTATTTACCAAACACCCCTATATTACTGTTATCGATCATTTCATTTTCTGGTAAGAACTTGAAGAAGAACAAAAATGTAATAAAGCTTAAAGCTTGCAGAGATCAAACATATGATTTATTCTATCATCAGTACTTAAAACAAGTCATCAAAGTCATAAATATAACTCTTACTGGTATGGGTAACACCAAAATATGTTTAATTTGGCATGCTTGTTATACCTTTCTTGAAAGTGGGTTTAGAATTAGTTAAAGATATAAATTAATATAAAAAAAAATACCTGGTAAATCCCATGGCTCACATTTGTAAAGATCAACTTCTGGAATGATGTCAAGCTCAATGCTGTGCCCATTGATCTTTCGTTTAAGATAGTAAGCAACGAGTTCTTCATCCGTAGGGTGAAACCGGAACCCTGGTGGCAATGAAACTGTTGCCATTGCCTCCATCTCCAGATTCGATCGATCCTCTGACGTTACAGCTACCTTCTTGAATTCAATTCAAAATCAGCTTTCTGCAAATTTGATCGATCTTCTGACCCACGTAACTAGCTTCTTGAATCCAAAACTATATATGTGCACCACATGCACATATACACCTGAAAAACTCGTGAAACCCTCAATGGAGCTATGAAACCCTAAAATCAGAAACCTTGTTTATATACACATAAACAACCCTGGAGTATGGTTTTTGTTTATATTTTTTATGAGAGGACAAAAAGAGAAGATGCGAAAAGTAATGTGGGGCGGCTAGCTACACTTTATCTTTAAATTAGATTATTATTTTTTTTATTAGTATTTTATTTTAACATCTGACATGCTTTAATAATCTTTCTTCTCAAGCTCTTATATTGTCATGCCCTTTTTTGTGTCTCTCTCTCTATATGTATATGTTTGTGCATGCAGATTCATACATACAAACTGTACGTATACGTTGAAGTATGTAAGTGTAAACATTACTGCTTTAGTTTGCAACTTGCAATTTAATTATTTAATTTATATATGCAGCAAATGAACAAAAATTCTATGCTTCCAAGTTGTCCTAGCTAGGAATCATTTGAGCTTGCATTGTCCACGTGGAGATATCTGATTCGATGCTTGACAAGGCTACATTATATTCTACGTACGTTAACCAAGGTGGTGGGATATATAATACATTAGATTATATAATATATAAGGTAGTATATGTATGCGTATGGAAAAGAATTGGGAGCTTTCTTCAATGCCAATCTTCAAACAATTTTAATGTTCCTTTCACATATATGCTGATTTAATTTGCACATCCATAGGGTAATGTTAGGGTTATTAATTAAACATCAACTTACATAATTTAATTTTACTCCACCATGTCATAAACGGTCCAACATTAATAAATGTGTTATAATTTAAATGTCGCATACGTACCCTGAAAATATTAGACTCGCCTAAAACTAACAAGCTCAAGGAGAAGTGGAATATAATATAAGAAGAGTAGGCCTAAGATCGATAACCTTGAGCAACCCAACGTACAGTTGAGCTAGGTCAATGCAAACTTGGTTTGGCGAGACCATGCCAGAGAATATCGGGTCAACGCAATTATGAGAGACACCTAATTTAATCGGGGGAGCGCCCAAAATGCATTAGGGAGTTAATATAATAAATACTTTGACTCGAAAAGGACAGCATGTCTTCTTATTACAAACGCACAGTTTCTCTACTAAATGAACAATGTAACTAATAAGAAGAAAATAATTGATCTAACATTCTATTGTCCTTTAGCATTATCTATTATTGTAAGTTGAACCCATTTTAATTGTTTCTATAGCAAATGTATACAAATTAGGCACAATTAAAATTTTTTTAAAATGTTAAAAATAATATGATATGATTTGGGTACTATATGGTGAAGAAGAAGAAAGGTAGAAATGGAATAATGCATGCATGATACCTTTGGTGGCCTGGCCTACATAGATACGAATGAAAGATGGGGCCTACTTTTGCCACGTGAATGAAAAGTGCCAGCGTGGAAGGGAGGGGCCGGGGAAATACTTGGTTGCAGACTTTGTCTGGATCTTAGCATGAAGAAGAAGATGCTGAAATTATTGTATGTATATATATATGACCGCTTGCTTTACCTTTTCATCAATCCATCATTTGGTGCTTTTTCCCCTTTTATGGCTTTGTCTTACTTGATTCGTAAGAAGCTATTATATATATTTTTCAATTTTGTTTTATCTATCTCATCTTCTAGAATGGATATGATTAAGAAAAAAACATTTTATAATAATTCCAAAATATAAAAGAGTATAAGACATTTGTAAGGACTTTTAATTGTTAAAAAAAAAAAAAAAAAAAAAAAAAAAAAAAAAAAAAAAAGAGTAAGGACTTATAATTTAATTTTAGTACATATTGTGCTTAATTTTTTCAATAATTTAATTTATTTAATATTTTTTTGAGTGATTAGGGAATCCTGCAATTATTACATGAGAGTGTACACTGAATAATAAATCATACATTGAGCCGATAAAGGAATACAAGAAGGTAAACAAACCTAAGTTACTTATAGCTGGCCAGCAAGCCAATGGGCTGCTCCCGCTGGGACTTGGGAGTTAAGTTTGTAACCTTGTTGTTACAAAGTCAACAATTTAAGTAACTCGGATTTGTTTAATATTTTGTATGTTTTCGTGTATATGTTTTGGAGCTATTTATTTCGCAGGTCTAATAACAGATGCAGGCTTCAAAATGAACATGAAATTTAAAGTATAAAAATGGAATAAATAAATACACACTTTTTAAATATAATGGTTTTTAAATATAACATTCAATTATGTAATAGCAAAGTCGTTGTAGTATAGTGGTAAGTATTCCCGCCTGTCACGCGGGTGACCCGGGTTCGATCCCCGGCAACGGCGTTTGTATGTTTTTTACTATCAAATATGCCAAAGCTGGGTAAACTATGTATTCACAACCTCATATCAGATGGCATTTTATGTGTTTTTTTGAGAATAAAAGACTCATTGTTTTAGGCAATTTTGAACTCAATGTTTCACACCAACACATATTTCAACCATTTCACACTCAATGTAGAAAGTAACCATATGATAACATTAACAATTAAAGAACAATGTTGGGCACTCTATCCTGTACACCTGTAGTGTTCTATACAGCAATTGAACTGAAAGAATATTCGAAATCACGTGAATGCTACACATTAGGTTCTGATGTTTTGATGTATACACAAATATGAAGAAAGTATTCTGGGTTCATCAAATTCTTCACCACCCAAGCAAAAGGGATTTCCAGCTTGGGTTCGATTCCCTGGATGCGAACTACTTTGATTTCTGCACCATCTGATAAGGAGGAGCATGGCTCCACAGCCTCGTTCGATGCTTCTCCCTTGTCCTGCCCACTTGTGGTGTTCGTCTCTTCTGAAGGTGATCTTTTCTCATCCTCTTCTTCTGCTCTACGGGTGTTGGTGTTTGGAGAATTATCCACAAAACACTCGGGTAGGAGTGATTTTACTGCATCGCCCAAGGTGAATAATTTGCCTGCAGTACATAAGTAGACTCCTAATGTGTGGGCATTTACATTTCGTGCATGAAAATGCAGGATCACTTGTGGAGCTGCTCATTAAATTTCTACCTTAATAGGTTATTTTACTGGTTAGGCCATTAAGGTTATGCCCTAATCATTCAAACTGGCAATACATACCAAATGCAATCACTGAATAACATTTCTACTAACCATCTTCTTGAATCTCAATGGGTCGATTAATGTAAGAGATCTTGTCCCAACTTTCAACCACAGGTGCATCTTCTACATAATCAAAATCCCCAGTAGAGCTCCGAACATACAACCGAACAGGAATTCTACCTGACATGCACAGCACAAAACAATACAAATATAACAAAAAACTTGGCAGGCAAAACCACAGCACATTTACAAGTAGAGCTATAAAAACCAGAACTTTAAATGTCATTCCAGACTTCACTATTGGAATGAACATATAGCCTTGAAAGGCTGAATTTTCCCTAGTTGTTTTTCTTAAGTTATTGCTGATATTTATTAACAGAAAAGTAGGAGGGGGGAGCAACTGCTTGTCTACTCTTACCAAATGTTTTTCAGGAGAACATTCAGGGAAAAATCCCCAGCAACAATGAAAGTAAAAGCTCAAGGTTATATATATCTATCACCATGACCTCTGGTTTACAAAATTCTGAAACCATGATTTAACAGTCAATTGCAAGCTCAGTCTTCAACAGGTACATTATAAATATATCTAAAATTTCATGTTTTCATCAACATTTACCATCTTTTCCAACAATCATTGAATATAAGAATAACAATTATGTTTCTGTTTTGTCAAATATAAATAGTACAAGTCTATATTTAAACCCTATTATCCCTTTCCTAATAAATACAAGTCATTGTACATTCTTAAAGGCAAAAAAGAGATATGACATGAACTAATCTATTTAAAGGGTAACAAAAGAAGAATGCAAAAATTCATTCTTCCAAACAGATAGCCTTGTGAATTTCTCTCACCTGTTTTTACTGCTCCAGGACTAGGAGCATCTCCATCACTACTGCTCTGTCGAGACTTGGAAGAATCCAACTTTATTGAAAAATCATCTCCATATATACCCAGCTTAAGCTTAGAAGAAACTCGGAGATAAGCTTCCAAATTACCTGGAGCAGTTGTATTTAATAGTTAAATTGATGCACATAGGCATAGAAAGCACCAACTTTTGGAAAATACGAACAGTGGTTTAACAGTTAAATTGATAATAGATTATAGATTTAAGAATAATATAGAAATTAAGTTTCGAGAATATATTGTACACCTAGTGATCAGAAGTCTAGATTTATGTCAACATATAACACAAACACATTATTGTTGCTGGTAGCTCATAACATATTCTTTGTAAATGTAACTAAGCAATCAAAGGGGAACTTTCTCAATCCTCACTTAGATTGCCACAACAAAATTTTTTGAAAGCATACTTTATAGAAATTGCAAGTTATAATATGGAACAAAAATCTAAAGAATAGAAGAAATAGAGGATAGAAGTAGCAAGTATTATTTGGATACACATACGGTTTACAACAGAACGCCAAAGTTCTGATTGATCAGATTGAGACATATTCATGATGTTTTTGCAGTTCCCATTGATAATGTATGCTGCCTGCACAGCGAAACTAAGGTAAGGGATGGACAAATAAAAACCCAAATCTTTCGCAACAGCAGTAAGAGACATTGAGTAACGAGTGATCAATAAAATAATAAGAAGCATATCAGTACAAATGAAGAAAAAATGCAATGACTTCTGAATGTGTAAATATTTTAGAGAAAAAATGAAATGACTTCTGAATGTGTAAATATTTTAGACTACCAAACTTGATGCTACATCCTCTTCACTCTCCAGATCATCTTACCAGCTCATGTTAACTAAGGATCTCTACAGCTCAAACTTCCATTACCTTTCAAAGAGAATCACACACCAAAGCAAAGTTTTTAAAGCGAAAATCAAAGCAATGAAGCCTTGCTTTGCTTTAAAGAGAAACGTCACTTTTTCATGCAAAGCAACATGAAGTGGCAAAAATGAAATTTTATGATTTCAAACA